ATAGGACCCTTCTAGGGGTAAAGTTAATGCTAGGGGGTGTTGTTAGCCACATTTATTCTAGAAACAAGAAAATTTCATTTCAAATAATGTCTTATACATTTTGGTATTACAGGTTTTCCAAACAGGCCAAGCTTCTTTCTACTTTTAAATGTTCTTTGAAATATTTGAAAAAAAAATTAACAGATGAACATATGAACTTATAGTTTGGTCGCCAATGTGGATGTGATGGACGTTATAGAGTGAAACAAAATAAAACACACACACACAAAAAGAGAGATGGAAAAGAAAGAGGAAAAAAGAGATTTACAACAAATCTCGTTATTCCATTTGTTGTCCTGATTGTTTTTTCTGTTGTGAGGAGAAAACATCCTGTCTGACAAAATGAATCTAATTTAATAACTAAATGTCCTCCAGTGTGTCAGCCTGCCCCTGATGTGTGTTCGTCTGTTCCAAACAGATTCTGCAGACATACAAAACAGATGCCAAAATGGAAGAGATGATGAAGAACGTGGACTTCTATGTCACTCCAGTGCTCAATATAGACGGCTACATCTACACGTGGGAAAATGAGACAGTCAGTCCTCGTATTTAATAGATATTTATCCAATTACATTTCTAGGGTTGTGCACTCAGGATCTCAAACCACAGATGAACAGGATATAATAGGATGATTATTGCTCAAAAACCTTCAAGTACAAAATAATCTAATGTTTTTACAGTAAGACACATGGAATAATAATGAACAGCATCAATTGCAGGAAGCATTTAATATCTACAAAAATGTTGTGCTGCCATTTTATTTATGACTGACTGAACATTTTGCTCCACTCAGACTCGACTGTGGAGGAAGAACCGGTCACCAGGTCCTGAGGACTGCAGCTGCTATGGCACCGATCTCAACCGCAACTTTGATGCCAACTGGGGAAGTGAGTGATGTAGCTGTTCTTCATTGAAAGCTGGATTGCATCTTGATTCTTTTCTTTTTTAGCTATTTTTACTAATTTGCCGATATGCTTGGAATCACTGTCCTGTTGCATGACCCAATCTCATTCAACCTTTAGCTTTCAGATAGAGGTCTCATTTTCACTGTAGAATACTTTGGTATACAGGCGTGTATGGCTGACTCAACTCAAACCATCACCTCCCTGACCATGTAGTGAATTAGCTAAGATGACTACTTCTGGGAAGATGGCAACACTTATGAATGTTTTCCACTTGAATAACCTTTCTCATTGTGTAATGGTGGATTTCAAATTATGTGGAAATGGCATTATAACTTTTCTCAATAGATAGGAACAATTACTTCTCTAAGCTTATATCTTAGCATTTTGTTAACACACACATGAGTAGGGATGGGTACCGGTGTCCAGTGCCATGATGGCACCGGCTCTGACATAAACGGTAGTAACCAGACCGAAAAGCAGCGCACATTTCGGTGCTTTATTTCGGTGCTTTATTTCGGTGCTTTTTTTTTCCTGAGCTGTGATACACTTTAGATTCTAGCCAATCATTTTACGTTTCCGAGGATAGTAGGCGGGGCCAGGTACGTACGTTCTTTTAGAGCAGAGCTACAGATTAAAAATGCCCAAGGCGAAGCGGTCAAAGTCTGGCTGTACTTCACAGCAAAAGATGCAAACTCAGCAGCCTGCAACAAGTGCTTTAAGCTGATACTGTGCAAAGGAGGTAACACCTCGAATCCGATGAAACACCTGGCGACGCATAGCGTTTTTTTTAAAAGCCGAGAAATGCGCCGTATTTGATAGCTTGCTGCGAGACCTCACACCGAGTGCACATCTACTGCGGGTGTGGTGCCTGTTATCGGACCCGGAGTTAGCAACATCCCCCAAAAACCCGAAGAGGAGAGTCCTGGCCCCTAGCCCTGCCAGTGTAGCAGAAATGATGACGGATGATGATGCAGCAGCAGCCGTTCTTCTCTGGTGAGTAGCTTAATGTTGTTCGTGTGTAATTTACGTTGAGTAGGCTAACCACGTTATTACATTAATGCATGTAAGGTGAACTAGCAAACACCATCGTAGTTACATGCGGCTGTCTTCTTGTTTGATGGCAGATACTCCCTTCACCCTGGCCAAAAAGGCTAAAATGACCAAAGAAAAAGTGGAAAACAGCTAAACATGAGAGGTTTTTGGACAAAGTTTGTGTTTTTTCCATTGTTTAAGCACTGCTTCCAGCCAAGAGTGTACCATATTCAATTCAATTCAATTTTATTTATATAGCGCCAAATCACAACAAAAGTCGCCTCAAGGCGCTTCATAGATACAGAGAAAAACCCAACAATCATATGACCCCCTATGAGCAAGCACTTTGGCAACAGTGGGAAGGAAAAACTCCCTTTTAACAGGAAGAAACCTCCGGCAGAACCAGGCTCAGGGAGGGGCGGGGCCATCTGCTGTGATTGGTTGGGGTGAGAGAAGGAAGACAGGATAAAGACATGCTGTGGAAGAGAGACAGAGGTTAATAACAGATATGATTCAATGCAGAGAGGTCTGTTAACACATAGTGAGTGAGAAAGGTGACTGGAAAGGAAAAACTCAATGCATCATGGGAATCCCCCGGCAGCCTACGTCTATTGCAGCATAACTAAGGGAGGATTCAGGGTCACCTGGTCCAGCCCTAACTATATGCTTTAGCAAAAAGGAAAGTTTTAAGCCTAATCTTGAAAGTAGAGATAGTGTCTGTCTCCTGAATCCAAACTGGAAGCTGGTTCCACAGAAGAGGGGCCTGAAAACTGAAGGCTCTGCCTCCCATTCTACTTTTAAATACTCTAGGAACAACAAGTAGGCCTGCAGAGCGAGAGCGAAGTGCTCTAATAGGGTGATATGGTACTACAAGGTCATTAAGATAAGATGGGGCCTTGTATTGTAGAGGATTTTGAATTCAATTCTGGATTTAACAGGAGAATGACCAATAACAGGAGAAATCTCTCTCTAGCCCGTCAGACTCTTTGCAGATTTATAGCTGAAGGCTTTTCAGTGAGTTTTTTGGACATCCTGATAATAATGAATTACAGTAGTCCAGCCTGGAAGTAATAAATGCATGAACTAGTTTTTCAGCGTCACTCTGAGACAGGATATTTCTAATTTTAGAGATGTTGCGCAAATGGAAGAAAGCAGTCTTACATATTTGTTTAATATGTGAAAGGACATGTCCTGGTCAAAAATGACTCCAAGGTTCCTCATGAATGCTCCAGCAAACTTCCAAAACCTCTGCTTCTTTAGAGGTGTTTGCACTTGCTGATGATCAGTGTGAATTTGAATAGCAGGACCTTGGTGCTAGTTACCCTTCTAATTCCACAGAAGCAGTAAAGCATGGTTCTTTTTTTTTTACACACTGCTTCTGCATTTTGGCTTATTTCTCATAAAATATATAAAACGTAATGTGTTGTGTATTGCTGTTCATCTGAGGTAGGTGAGACACTGTTTAACGACTTGTCTCTTTTTAAAAAAAAAGGAGGTGGAAAAAGCCAATATGGTTTTTAATGTTCTGGACATTTTAATACAGGAGTCACACATGAAGCAGCCTTTAGTGGCTATTAGAGGAACTGCAGCTTTTGGCCAAATTTTACAACCTAACGGGTCACACTATGTAAAAAGGTTAACCTTTGTTAAAAGAATTTGAAAACAGAGGTATTATTGTTATATGTCTTTCATATCATCCTCCTTGGCCTCTATTCACAGCTATTGGGGTTTCATTTAACTGCTGCTCAAAATTCTACCCTGGAAGCAAAGCTATGTCTGAGCTCGAGACCAGGGCTGTAACTGACTTTGTAAGAAGCCGAAAGGACAGCTTCCTGTGTTTCCTCAGCATCCACTCCTATGGCCAGATGCTCCTGATTCCCTACGGACACCCCAACTACACCGCTCCCAACTATGATGAACTGGTATTTATGCCAACAAATGCAATAATGCTTTTTTTTTTTTTAATTAACATACACACACATATGCATCTTTATAGCCTGACAATGACTAATCGTGCATGCATTTATATTAAAAAGGCAAACAGCCAGCAGAATGAGTAATTATTGTTAATTCATCTAGTAAAAGAGTAATAGATAAAAGTGGAATGGCAAACAGGTAAATGGACGTTCAATAATGACGATAACAAGATTCCACACAAACTATAGAGTTTAAAATATACATAAGGCCTAGTGCAATCATGTTTGAGTGTGCATGTGGACCAAAACACAGCAGGCAGGATGAAAACATAACCAGTGCCTTTAATAAGTATGTACAGAGCAGTCCAGAAATTCCAAAAAGCTAATCAGCTTTTTGGAATTTTTTGGAAGATGGAAAACTACTAAGACAACGGGATACTCAAGGAACTGATAACATTTAAATCTGTATTTATTGCCTCCTGAAATCTCCATATCACCACTAAATTTTTCATACAGAACAAGAACAAGGTTGTCTGGATCCATATTTCATTGACTGTATGACAAGTTCTTTGTGATTCCTCAGATGATGGTTGGTCAGGGAGCAACAGAAGCAATATGGAAGGTTCACCGAACAAACTACACTGTAGGAACCCCGCCCGATGTATTATGTGGGTTTATATATCAATTGCTAGCCAGTTAAATTTATTGCCAGTATCTCTGTGTTTTTAAAAAAATATAACTGCTGCTTTTCTTTCCCCAGACCCCATAACTGGTTCAGCCACTGACTGGGCTCGGATGCAGGGGATCCCTTTAACCTACATCATTGAGCTGAGAGACAATGGGACATACAGGTTTGAGCTTCCTGAGGATCAGATCCAGCCTACATGCGAGGAGGCCTACAGAGGAGTATTGTACATCATCACCTACGCCCACGACAAGACGTTTAACGGTGCTGTAGCCAACACTGCTGTGACCCTTTCAGGCATACTGTTGGCAGCAGGTGTCACTGGAGCCACCCTGAGATGAGAGCTGTTTGATTTCAGTCATTCTGCAATTTGTGGCACTTATATTTAGTTCTTCAAGTAATTTTTCAGAAATAGAGTTTTAAAGTTTCATTGCTTTCTAAAAAAGTGCAGTTGATGTACAACTCTTTGTACTCAAAAATTCTAATCCATGAAGTGTACTTGCAGAGCATCTCCTCAGCCACTGTACTTTTTCACATAGTTTAAAGAAAATGATTTGAGGTTATAGCCGTTTTAATTAGTTGCCAATACTTGGTGTGTTGAAATATTCCCAAGACTATCAGGACTTTTTTTTGTGTCCATCTAAGTCTTTTGAATGCCTTATATAAAAATAATGTAAAACAAAATAAAACTACATAAAACTTATTTAACAACATTGATATTTACATGATATTTTCAGACAAAGGAGGGACATTTGAGACAACAACAGTTTTAAAACAGTGTGCCTGTAATTATTCTTGATGATGGATATTGTTTTATAAAATGACATATAGAAGATATACAATTAATCTACGTATATTAAGAGGCTCCAAGCTCTTTCTGTCTCCTTCATGCATGTATCATATGTTCTGTTCATTGAGGGACTAAGTCTAAAGGAATGCACAAATGATTAAAATAGACATTCTGTACTGAAAACAGATTTCAGGAGTGATGCAAGGGACAGATAACATAACCGTCAGCACAGTGACTGCAGATTTTTGTGTTTTCTTTTACATAAATACATTTTCTAACACAAAGTAAACAAAAGATAAATGAAGCATTCAAGTGAGTCAAAACTCTGCATAAAGTTTCCAGGGTGAGCATCCCTCTGGTCCCCACTTAATGCCCAATCTCCTAATGTGCAAACAAAACCTTCACCCATGGCTGAAGACAGTTACTAATTAATATGAATCTACAGCTACACTGTAAAAGCTAATTTGGCTTTATTTGAAATGTTCTCCCATTTTTGAGTTGATGAAACTGATTGTTGCTAAATAACTGAAGCTACTTTGTAGAGTAAACAAGGCCCACTTTAATGTGTGACTTCAGAGAATGTATTTGTACTGTGTGCATCGACTGCACTGTAGCGTTTCAGCTTTTTAAATGCATTTCCCTTCAACTTCCTATAGTGTGGAATTAAAGATTAAATATCATAGTTTATTCACTGAACAACAGAGTTTTTGCTCAAAATGTGTCATGTTTGATGTAAGCTGGTGGACTCAAAATGCACGACGATCATTCTGCTTGGAGCTTCAGTCACCGCTATCTCCATTAGCGATCATCCTCTTTTTGACTAAACCCTTAGCTGGGCCTTTGTTTCTGATCAAAGACAAGACAACTCTCTCACGAGGTCTGGTTTCCTGCGCAGAAAGGAACAGAAGGTAAGTTAGAATCAGAGCCAAAGCATACAAACATGCAAACACCAAGCACCAATCAGAACCAATCCCACTAACAGTTTCCAGTTTAACAATCAGTCATCAACTGGCTGTCTGGCTGTAAGTGTCTGATCGCACATTTAGTCACAGGTGGGTTAATTATACAGACAGAGAGAGAGAAAAAAATGGAAAACTGAGTGAGAAGCTGGGTGATTAATTAAACACACGAGGACATTTTAAAAAAAAACAACCCTCCTGATTGCAAATGGCTTTGTGGTAAAAACACAAATCTGACACAGTGTGGGGATAATGATCCGTAGGTAAGAGTGCATTATTTAGTGTTCTGCATCATCTAAGTTAGGAGATGAAATTACATTACATTAGGTCTACTGATTGCATTTTTTAACCAGGGAATTAGTCACTAATCAGTTTGTAAACTGAAGGGAAACAACACGATTAACAAGAAATGAAAGCTGCTTTTTAAAAATAATCACTCATATTTAGTTTTTATGAAAAGATCAATATTGAACAATATTGAAGAGGAACGAAGTTAATAATAATAATAATAATATTAAACACAATAGGGTTTAACACCTTATCTGTTTATACCGGGTCTGGGGCCAGGTGTTGGTGCCATCTGTAGCAGTTTAACACCTCAGCCTGGATGATTCAGATGTGGAAAACTGTGTGCTCTTACCTCTGGCTCTTACCTCTGGCTCCTTCATAACAGCCGGAGAAGGGGCGTTTAGGAAACTTGGAGGCGGCCCAGAGTTCTGTTTGCTTTTCTTTTCCTTCTTCTTCTCTTTTTATCAGATTTTTATAAATCTCGAGCACGATGGAATAAATGGAGACCAGGCGGAGTGTGACAGGGTTAACTGATGGGGAGCTGTGAGGGAAGCTGTGAGGGAAGCCCTGTGAAGCGCGCAGTACAGCGGACTGAAGCCCGACTGTGGAGGAATGAGGCTGCGCTGCTAAGGCAACTGAGGAGCTCTCACAGTCTCTTCCCCTCTGTCTCTTCCCACATTACACAATCTGCGATGGCCTCCTATATGCTAATTTCAAAGTTCACTGCTGTTCAAGTTACACTGTAGAGGGCCTGAGCTGGGCCTTTGTTTCTGATCAAAACTAAATATAATGTTTTTCCCCAGGTACAGGTTGTTTGACGTGTTAATTTACAGACTATTTTTTTTGTAATTGTATTGATGTTTCACATGTTTTAAAAATAATAGGAACAGTTTGTACAAAATTATATGGGAAAAAAGTTGTTAATTTATGAATATTTTTTACAGCGTAGAAAATATATTACCAATTTAAACTTAAAGTGAAACATTTCTTTTTTTTTTTAAAAGTAAGGCCATTTTTAATTTGGCATCCAAAAAGTTGGAACAAGGGCTACAAAAGGTAAGTAAGTGACACTAAAAAGAGCCCGTTTGTGGAACATTTTGCACCTACTTTGGTTTATTGGGAACAAGTAAGTAACATAACCAGACCTAAAAAGAACATCTTAGAGAGGCAGAACATCTGAGGAATACGCAGTAAATACAGTATGTCAGATGTGCCACGCAATGCTCAATTACATTGGTGGGAACTAGTGCATTAGCGCAGTTAGCTCGTTAAAGTGTTGACAGCGTCCAGCCCCACGCACGGGGCGAACCGCGGTAGCTCGTTAACGGAGATTTGCGGTGTTGTGGTGTTAACGTCATTTCAACGAGATTTACACTGACAGCACTAGTGGGAACACAATGAATATGACTGCACATTTACGTCGACATCATCGTAGTGCAAAGACAAGTGGAAGCAGACAAAAACAACAAGCACGCATGCTACAAACTTTACCCGAGTCATTTAGACAGCTGTTAGCACAGGATTCTCCTTATGGGGACCTGATATGTTTAATATGCTGCTGAGAATATAGCCCAGAAGAAGTGTATAGTATAGCTTTTATTTTGGAAAGAGACATTTCTCTGTAATAAACTCTCTTTTCCAAAGATGAGTGATTTCTCGATCAGAGAGATCAATTTTTTTATTACTTTGTTGTTTCAGCAACATTAAATTTAAAAACTGTACTTTTGACTTAAAATATATATTTATAATTTTAATAAATGACAAATTAAAAAGGCATGAACATTTTTTTTTGCATCAAAAAAATATTGAACTGTGACACCAAAGTATCGAACCGAACTGTGAATTTTGTGTATCGTTGCACCCCTACTAAACATGTTTTCACTCTATGAGCATAACAGGGAGAAGGTTAGATAAGAAAATGCATTAGAAAAATCTAGAAACAGTGTAAGCTGATTAAAAACAGAAAAGGTCTTTTCAGAAATTTCACAATTAACCTTTAGAAAGTAATCCGCTCAATTGTGTGACTGAACTGGAAAAAAGAAAAACAAATGTTAAACACCCATCCATCCATCCATCTTCTCTCACTTATCTGGGGCCAGGATGTGGGGGCAGCAGCAGCCTGAGCAGAGAAGACCAGACCTCCCTCTCCCCAATCACTTCCTCCAGCTCATCCGGGGAAACACCGAGGTTTTCCCAGGCCAGTCAGGAGATATAATCTCTCCAGTGTGTCCTGGATACTGCCCCGGATCCTCCCAGTCATTAGTATTTATTCACCAATGGAGCACCAAGAAAGATGGGCTGGGTGTGTGGTCATGTGGTATAAGATTTATACATAAAGAGCATAAATCTGGGGTGGAGTTTCAACTTTTTCCTCATCTAATGTTACAAACGTCCACTTTAACGAACACACAAAAATGAAAGTTTAAAAAAAAGGGAAAAAATAGGTGTAAAAAAAAATGTTGTTAAAATGTTTCATAAGAAAATTATACTGGGATGAAGATTAAGGTTCAGCGTTATTCAGCCTCACATTAGCAGGCAGGCACTGACAAACCACAGCAGCAACTGTGATAAAAAATATAAAACAGGTTCTAATACTTTCAAATACAGCAGAGTTCAGGTACAGTATACCACAGGCATAAACAACCTTTTCCTCATGTCTGATATGAAGCTGGTCAACATCTGCAGACCTCAGCTGGAACACAAGGCTTTTATTGGCTTCATCCAATGAGGCTTTACATTTTTAAAGTAATGCCATTATTGAATCCCCAGGGTTCAGGTTAACCTGAAAGCTCCACTGTAGAGTCCTCAATATAGTGTTTGCATCCTGTTTTTAATTTATTTTTAGCAATGCAATGGAACATACTTGGTGTTTTGTTTTGATGCCCCTTTAAAGCGATTAAAAAATGAACTACTCTGGCTCTGATGCAGCTGCTTCTCTCTGTTTGTAGCCGCGAGCACTGTCCTGTATTGGATCGGATTGGTTACATGTCATGAGTAATAGCCTATCAACACTGATGGCTAGCTATTCTTTAAACCCTAAAATATTATGATTTCTTATGTAGATGACAGACATGGCTTACTTAACTCTCACAATAAAAAAAAAAAGCAGAATAATGCATTTTGTTGCAATATACAATTTATTAATGTAGCAATGATGCACATGAACAAAGGCATGTCAGTGTCAGGCACAGGTGATCTGATTCTCTGAGTATCAGCCAGTAGGCAATACAGAGCTTGGAGGGAGCCGTGATTTAGAACCCCCCTGAACTGAATGTTTATCCTGCTCCCTCTGAAGGTGTTATGGCCTGGGTGGCCTTCACGGTCAAGTACAATGCTCCAGTCATATTCACAGCAGGTCTCCTCTGTAATCCATGCACTTGATAAGTGAGTTAAAATTTAGTGGCCTGGAAAATAGGACCCAAGGATATGTTCATTTTTAAGGCTAGAGTAACCTGTAAGAACCGTTTGAGTGATATTGTTATAATATACAGGCTTTTACCTTTACTGTCTATGTCCACAATTTAGAGTTTTTGAATGCAGGATACTTTATTAAAGCAGTTTAGGGGGACCATAGCAAAAGCTGAATCACATAATGACTATCACTGAAATCTGAGCTAACGCTGATATTGAGAGCAGTGAGAGAGCAGAGGGTGGGCCTGTCCAGGCCTGAAAATGCACATTGTGACAGAGAGTGCACTTGACGTGTTTTTGTTTGCTTTTATTCTTTTTGCTAAGCAGATTGCTGAGGGTATGGCACACTTGGGCCAGGAGTTCAGGTCTTTTCGCAGCTCTTCCACTGCACACACTCTCCCCGTCAGTCTCCCCCATATCTATCTATCTATCTATCTATCTATCTATCTATCTATCTATCTATCTATCTATCTATCTATC